TTTCAATTTCTATTCCTCATCGCTGTCCGTGCCTTCAAAGAACGAAGAAACCGTGTCAATATAAAGCTCATACCGCGCCTTCGCAAAAGTTAACAAGTAACGGAATGACTTGACTAGCTGACAAAAATTAAGAATCCCTCCTCACTCCGATCAGTGCCAAAGAGTTCAGTCACAAAACTTGCACACTTCGATTCTTTTGAAAATAAGTTCAGCCTTCCTTCTTGCATATAAGTATTTTATAGTTTTTTTCAGCTGGAAGCCGAGGCGACAAATCGAGCATGTGTGATGGCATCACAGGCGAACTGCCCGCTCTACGTGGTTCATGTGATGAGTAAAGGTGCCGCTAGAGCCATAGCACATCATCGCCATAAAGGTCACTCTTCTAGTCTTTCTCTACCAAGTGCTCAAATGTCCCACCTCCTAGTTTCACATATTTTCGCACAATCCGTGATGCTTTATTTTACTTTTCATCCTTTTTATGAGAATTGATGTTCAACAATTTCAGGACATGTGATCTTCGGAGAACCGATCGCTGCTGGTTTGGCTGTCGATGGTTCACATTACTACGATAAGGTACTGCCTTATGAAGTTTTTGGAAATATACGGCTTTCGAATCCGTATACAGTCGTCATCCGGGCACTTGATTAGGCGGCCAAAGGGTCGCGACGCGGCTGCGGCGCGTCACGACCGCGGCGATCAGCTGTTTCCGGCCTAATTTGGCCATTTTCTCCCTAATTTTCACTGCATTTTCTATTTTTCAAGGCGGATGACGACTGTACCTTCTGCGTTTATCAAAACAGCAAAAATTGTCAAATACTGCATTCGAACTTTTGAAAATCCCTGACTTTGGCAGAGCGTTAGTTCACAGAAAAGAGGGGTCTCATCAGTAAAGACTAATTTCGGCACGGGGATTATTGAGGTCAGAAGAGGATCTAATTGTAAGTGCTATAGGAGCAAAGCACAGCATGCGGATGAGAGAAATGACGGCGCGAAACGACCCCCCCCTCCCAGATCCTTCGTCCAGGGCTTCCCCTTACCTTATTGCCCACCACTTTTACCTAGCCTCTCGAATTTCCATATAACCTTGTACTTTCCCCAGTTTTCAGGAATTTTTCCAGTTTCTCGAACGAAAACTACCCCCAGGCCTGAGTAGTGGGAGAGAGGGTGTCACTAAACCTTTCTTAGTTATAACTATCGAAAATAGTTGTATAAGACTGCATAGGGTGAGGGAATCCTGCTAGCAAACCTGGTGTATAGTTTGGCAAGTTCAGCACAGATGCTCCATACATAAAGCGTACACAAAAACTGCCTGTATTTACTGCCCCAACCATCCGGGACTGGGCCAGTTTTTTATCGATTTTTTTTCTCCGTGAACAGATTTCGGTCAAATGTTGTCTCCGGGGGTAGTTCGACCTCCTGAATACGAATATCGCATTCGCTTAGCCTCAAAATACCTGGCGCCCGCGCCACTGGTGCCGGTAATTTGGGGTATTCTAACGCCAGTGACTGTGGCGCGGGCGCCAGGTTTCTGAAGAGCGGATGTGATATACGTGCTCAGCAGGTGAAAGTGTCCTTGGGATCAAGTTTTCAGCGCATTTTGGGTGATTTTGCGAGTTATTTTAGGCGCCGGGCCGTCTTTTGTATGCGCAGAGTTGCCATAAGAGGTTTTCGGAAACGAGCGGTTTGAGCGGATGTGATATTCGTGTTCAGGGGGTCAAACTACCCCTGGGAGCAAGTTTTCAGCGAATTTGGTGATTTCGAGTATTTTGGCGCCTGTGGCGCGGGCGCCAGGAGGTTTCGTGCCGAGCGGATGTGATATTCATGTTCAGGAGGTCAAACTACCCCAGGAGACAAATTTTCAGCCAATTCTGCCACGCAGAAAAAGTCGGTCAAAAACTGGCCTGATTACGAATGACTGGGGCAGTTAAGGGTGAAGAGTGCAAAAAAATCTCTTTCCCTGAATCATCAGTCGATCACTGTTGGTAGAGAAGAGTCAGAGGGGGGGGGGGAGCTCATCCCAGCCCTCCTGACATTGCTCCGACAGATTGCGACTATTACAACTACATTTGTGCAGAAAAAAACTCTTTTTGCTCATAAAGTTGAGTTTCAAGGACTGGGTACATGCCGCACAGTACGTCATGTCTCCTCCGTTGAGTCGAGATCCATCTACCCCAGAAGCTCTCATGGATATGCTGGCCGCGTAAGTTTCCTACAAAAAAGTCCTTTTTTTGAAATTCTGCTTTTGATTTATGGTCAGAAATTGGTAGTTTCCAGTGGTGAATTACATCTCACCGGAACCGACAACTGCACGTTCAACTGCCAACAGAAACTAGTTGGACGTAATGATTTCACGAAAATCCCCAATGGTGTGAATGGCGTCGAAGATCGTATGAGTGTAGTATGGGATCGAGGTGTACATACAGGGAAAATCGATCCAATGCGATTTGTTCAGATCACAAGGTAGGATTATGTTCAGATCACAGGTCCATACCGATCGGTATGTCGGGTTGGGGAGTGTGAGTTCGGCCCCAACCAGTTTTTCACCAATTGTAATCTCCTTCCACCTTGCGCCCCTTTACACGTCGCAGCGGTCGCAGCGACTAAGACTCCAGTCGTCATCCGGGCACTTGATTAGCGGCCAAGGGTCGCGACGCGGCTGCAGCGCGTCACGACCGCGGCGATCAGCTGTTTCCGGCCTAATTTGGCCATTTCTCCCTAATTTCCAGTGTATTTTCTTTTTTTCCAAAGTTGTTTTATTGCTTTTATGAAGTGTGTTAGGATGTGGACACTTTCTTTTGTTTTTGCAATAGAGTGTTTTTGCGATTTTTTCAGGTATTTGTTCAACTTTCTGCTCAACTGTTTAATTGCATGCAAAAACCAAAGAAATCTCAATCATAATTTACCTTGTGAAGACAAGGAACAACTAATCTAGAGAAAAGCAACCAAAAATGGCAGATTAAGGTGAAAATAGATAAAATAGGCTGGAAGGCAGCTGATCGCCGCATTCGTGACACGCCACAGCCGCGTCGCGACCTTTGGCCGCCTAATCAAGTGCCCGGATGACGACTGTAATTGCCGAGAGGTACCTCACCACCTATGGGCCGTCTGCTCGACTGCTCCTTCTCATCGTAATAGCGGAGTAGAAATGTTTTGCCACCTCCATATTTCCATTCAACTTTTATGATGTAGAAAATGTGTGTAGAAAATTGCCTCGAAACTATTCCGTACACTGTCTCGGCGAGAGAGGTAGACGAGCAAGGAACACGCGGAGTAGTCACGCGCCACTTCGAGCTAGCCGGGAAAATCATGATAGTCAGGAGTTTTAGGCGCGTTTTAGCGTATTGGCCAGCATGACTAGAATCTATAACGCCGCATGATCGGACGGTCTAAGGCAGGGGTAGAATGGGTCTGCCACCAGCTGCACTTCTTTACCAGTGGTAATCGTCTCATGATTAAGTTAGGAAGAAAACAGCCAGTGGCGGGAGACGCCGCAGGTGGAGTCAGTCTATCCCTCTTGAAACCGCCCCAACTGATTCCAACCATATCAACAGTACGTACCTGTACCGTGGAAGTATAGAAAGAGGAATGAACGCATACAGTCCTCATCATTGCGAACTGTCGGGTCGCAGCCAGCGGTTCCCACCTGTAACCTTCCCACCACAGTGGCTGGTTCCATTGCACATCGATCACTGCTCGATCGCCATTGGTAGAGCAAGGCAGTCGGACGTGAGCTCGTGCCGCGCTGCGCTCGCCGCCCCCGAAAAATTGCAGTGTTACAAACTTTAGATAGCTTATTTCCTTCTGTCAATGATCATCTGCCTCCTGAGTAAAGTGTTTTCTAAAGTTCCTCAGACGCAATTAGGTCTTCAATTCTACATACTCATTTCTCGCTACGGAACTAAACCCCTTTTTTTTAGTTCAACCGCTGCCAAAATTTTCAATATTTACCCGAAAAAGGTCGAATCGCTGTCGGTTCAGATGCAGATCTAGTGATCTGGGATCCAAATGCCACGAGAGAAATCTCTAAGGACACTCATCATCAGGTACATCTGTTCATTCTCTGACATACGTTGAGAACTACCGTACTACTTTCTACAGGCTGTCGATTTCAACATCTTCGAAGGAATGGTGGTTCACGGAGTCGCCGAAACAACGATCTCTCGTGGGAAGGTGAGTTCTCTAACATTAGAACATTTCGTTGGCCGTCCTCCAGGCACAACATCTTAGGGAGAACTGCATGCAAGCGGTGGTATCGGTCGCTGGAAGGGAAGTAGTGCTGAAAGGGAAATTGGGGGATAGTATTTGGAAGAGAAAACCTTGGCATAGTCGTACTTATTTCACATTTCAGACGTGGTCCTGTCAGAGAACTTCTTTGAATAGTATGGAGCCTCCTATGCGGGTTGGGTTTGACTCGATGCCTGCTCGTTTCACACCAGTTGTAGAAGCTGGAAGAGTCCTATGATTTGGAGGCAAAACCATTGTACATTTTCTATTTCTCATAGCTGAGATTGGTGGAAGGAACTTATCCCTACCCCTCGACTCGCCAACTTTTTGAGGAAAAACTGGAAAATTTCCGTAAAACTGAGAAAGGTGGCAGAAAGATCACTTAGCAAGATGGTAGGTTGGATGGGGAAAGAAAACGTACCGGATAGGGAACCATAATGGGTGGTGGGGACGGGGCGCCATTTAACACATTACGATACTGTACATGATCGCACTTCGTCGCACGAGTGGCCAAAAGGACGACTGTCACATTTTCATGATCATTTTTCAGGTGGTTTGGTCCAATAACAAGCTGAGCGTTGAAGCTGGTGCTGGTCGATTCGTGCCACTGGCGCCGTTTGCTCCAATCGCTTTCGCTACGATACCACAGCGAGCCAAGGTACCCATAGGAACTTTCTCTAGGTTTCCATAGATCGATCATTATGCTGTTAAGCATTCTCGGGTCCACAAACAATTTGATCCTAGTTCCTTCAATTCGTTTTCATTTTCTAAAGCACCCTCTCGTCCGCATCGCATTCTTTGACCTCACACATTCCAGCTTTTCACGCATGGTAAGGGGCTCATCGGCCCCCTCGAAGTCGTCCACTCCCCTTGAAAATCCTGTTCGCGGACCAGCCCCTCTGTATCTTTCGATGTTTGGCAGCCGCTAAACTCTAGCTATCAGCGCTACGAGGGCTTGCAATAAGACCATGCAGAAAAGTTCAAGCGCTATCTTATCACAGGAAACTTTAATCAGCAATGCGTACGCAAATTCACACCCATTTCAAAATAAACCTTTTTGAAATGAAGTAGGGATACAGTTCAGAGAGAAACTCTAATTTAGGCTATGGCTCCGCGTTCTGTGGATAGAGGAGATACCAGCAGCCAAAAAGTTGTCCAAACGAACTCCGCACCAGTGACTCACAATGAGATTACAAACGGAATTAACCCAACACCCGCACGAAGACCACCACCCGGTGGAGTTAGCACTATCCAGTTGTTCTGATGCACTACCATATGTATAATATGTATTGTTTGCTCAATGAAAGAATAAAGCAGGGTTATATTGTCGTTGAACACGCT